AGGTACCTAAAGTAGGAGGAAGAAAAGAAGGCCAAGTGAAGCACAGGAAGCTGCTGCACACGCCCGTATTCCGGGAAGGTGAGTGGAAGTGGATCTCTTAAGTTGCGGGCTGGACGCACGCCCTGTAGGATGCGCGAAGGAAGAGGGGGGAGGGGGGATCTGGGCCCGGGGGCTGGCGTGGGTGGGCGGGCGGCTTTGGAGTCGGGGAAGTCGGCACCCCAGAACGTACAGTAGCAAAGGGAGCTACGGTGGGCTGCGTGGCAGTAAGGAAGCCGCCGTCAGTGTTGTGCAGTCAGTCGTGGCAACGGACGCAGCCGTGTGGCCCGAGAGCTTAGTAGGTAGGTACCTTAGGTAGGTACCTTAGGTTCGAGTCGACCAGCCTCCACGCCAATCGGGCGTTGCGCCTTGGTCGCCGAGGAACGGTAACGAGGACGTGCAGAGAGACAGATGTGGAAGAAGAAAGGTAATGTGAGATGGTAAGGTGGATCAGGCAGGTTGAGGTGGGAAAGAATCTCTCAACTGATCGTAACTATCATCAATCCAGCAGACGGCAAACGGACACCATGGACAGCATGGACTGTCTCTGTTCGTTCGCTGTAAATCGTCTCTGACCCGCCACCTGGCAATCGGGAGAGGGTCCCATCACACCATGTTTAGCATCTGTCATACCTACCTCCTCAAGGGTACCTATTTGCCCACCTAAGGTACTATGGAAGTGCATCGATCCGCACGTCTTAATAGATGAAGATCGCTGAAGCTACCCGACTAACATGTCTCTGCCCCATTGCTGTTTCATTCCGTCGCCTCCGGACTGCATACGGCGACGGCACGCTCTGACACCTTCGCGTGCCATCCGTTCCCCACGCGAACTGTCGACATGAGGAGACGATGCAAGATAGGTCAAGGGTCACAGAGCAAACATGCAAACTTGCAAGCCCTGAGCCGATGACAGGGGCTTCGGCGTGTGGCCACACACGCATCGACTGTCCAACGTACTTGATGACCCCCACCGCCTGTCGATCGAACAGGCTCGCGTCTTTGCTTCCTTTTTGAAGGTGAGAGTGCAATCAGGCTGCACAGCACCCCCTTCGGGCATTGATCCTGGTCCGCCATCCATCCTCAGCCTGTCTGTACAACTTTACAACGAAGTGGCGGCACGGGTGCCAACAGTAGCACGACTAATAAGAAGTAGGCAATGGATGCTCCGGCCGTGTCGAAAATCGATGATCCTGGTCTTTTGGACTTCGATGGCCCGCATCTTTGCACACCTGCAGTCGCATCCGTGTCGTCGCCCCGATTCGTTGGCCAGTACACTGATACATACAGAGAGGGGTTGCAATCGGTTAGCATGCCCACCATTGAGGGCCTTTGCCGAAACCTCCCCGGTCCGTGTGTGTGACGAGACAGCAGAGGTCATGGGCGTTGTCACTAGACGGCCGTCGATGGAGGTTAATGGTCATCGTCGTGGTGTTGAGGCTGCGAGTCGCCCTGCAGTAGGTAGGTACGGGGGCTGCTCCAATGCCCCGCTGGCCAGGGGCAAGGGTCATCTTGCTCATTGTCAGATGATGGTCACCCCCAGCTCTCAACCATTTTGACTGAGACGACGTGATCTAGACTCTGGCGATTGTCGACTGGCGGGCCTCCTTCCCCTACTGCCATTGCCTCACATTGCACTCGCTCGCTAAAAGTTACGCCGCCATCAGTCAGGTATGCTTTGGTGAGTACGTAGCTACCTACCTTAGGTGAGCAGGTCGGTAAGGTACCTAGGTAAGCAGGTGAAGATGATGCCTTCCCTGAGGTGTTGAGCTGCGCATTTGATGAGTACCCACCTAGGGACCTTGGAGAAGTAAGCGCTGTGGAATGCACAGGTGTCAAGCTACGCACTTGAGTGGAAAATCGAAACAGTCAACAGGCCAAGGCTCTGTTCATGCGTGGCGATAGTGGCTTGAGCGCAATGCGGCGGGCTGGTCGTGGTGTTGAGTTTGGGGAAGGTCGGCCAGTGGATGGGAGAGCTGGCTCGAAGAAGCAACTTGCTCCTTTCTTCTCCCTCGCGGTCAGGGGCGCCTGTGCGGGCACCATCCATGGCATCCCACACGCGACCGGCGGCCATTTCATGATAAAAACGCCACACCGGACGCCAGAAGCCTATAAGACGATTCAACACGTGAGTGGTGCGGCCCCTTCACGGCCACCGACTGCACTGCACCTTCCTGAACGCGCCAATCCTGCCTGCCTCTTGTGAAGGATGTTTGCTTGCTTGCTGTTGCCGCCGCTGCCACTGCCACTGCCATGCCGTGCCATGCCATTCATGCCGCCTGTCCCTTCCTTGCCCTTGCCTAGGTTGCTTGCTCTTGCCTCGCCTTGCCTTGCCTCGCCTTTTGCGGTAGGTACCTACCCACCTACCTACCTTACCTGCCTTGGGTGTCCAGTAGAAAGCTGACTGTGTTGTCCATCCTGTCGACCAGTCGCCCATCGCCAGCCAGCACTTTCCGTAGGTACCTACCTAGGTAGGGCCAGTAAATGCCTATGTGCCTACTGCCTGCCAGCCTCTCCGGGTTGCACCACCAGACCTGTCCAGGACCCAAGTCAGACTGATCTTCACCCTTTACTCGGCCCAACTCACCTGAACAGCGACTGTGGATTTAACGCGCACGACTGAAATAGCAGCATCCAACCGCTCGTGGCCAGCGCGGTACGCTGGAGTCCCCGGCATCTCATTACCTTCGCCACAACCGTTCACGTCATCTCGACTCCGGCGCACGCCCATCTGCCCAACTGGCCCAACGTCCCGTTAGTACGACACTCCTCAGCGCGGCCTCTTCCTGAGCGTCCGCGCCTCTCATCATGCTGTCTCAATCGCCCCGTAGCGCGGGCATGTCTGTCTACGCCCTCATGCAACCGCAGTCATCCGACGATTCGCCTGAGTTCTTCAGACAACTCATTGAAAGGCGCTTCGAGCTTGCCCTGACCACCCTCCCAACGCGACAGGAGCACACCGACGCCGGTCTTGTCGCAGATCTCGGTGACATCATTATTCATCTGTTGTCCATGGTGTCGAAAATTGCTGATGAGATTGTCGACGACCGTCGAATCAAACAAAGAGCGTACGGCGCCATGGTCGAAGATAGGACGGCTCGAAGATACACCCTCGCCATGAGCTTGCAAGACGTCGACGCGTCTCATCGAATCTTGAAGTGGGTTCACCCGTCAGAACGTCAAGCGTAGTCCTCATTGCCCGATGCAGTTTCTGACTTGCGATAGAGATATGCAATCTACTTTGAAAAGTACAGTCGACGGCTTCAGCCAGGCGTGGCAAAGACCACCCGTACTCCACCCTTCGGCTGGCCACGCCCGACCCGTGTCCATGTCCGTGTCCGTCTCGGAGCACATTCCCAGCCCCAGTTCAACCTTTTCAAGGTCCAGCGGCGGCCAGTCGGTCCATGATCCGTCACGGGATCCCAGGCTCGAGGGTCACCAACCTGTACTGATCGAGCCTGCGAGGATCGACAAACCCTCGCCAGCGTCTGAACAAAACTACTCGCGCCCTTCAGAAAGGTCTGAGTCAGGTGCAGACAACGATGCCCTCGCAGACCCGGACATGGACGCCCTTCGAAATAGAGGCAAGGGCACCTACACCTGTAAGTATGGCATGAGCTGTACCAAAGGTGGAGTGGATATGCATGGCCAGTTAGTTATCTTTGAGCGCAACTGCATGTTTCGGTCAGTCGTCGCACTCTGGCCTATTGTTTCGTCACTATCCAGCTCACTGACTCGTTCCACAGACAACACATGGACAAGCATAAAAAGCCATATAAATGTACGAAGCCCGGCTGCCCTAACAAGGATGGGTTTGCCAGGAAAGACCAGCTTGAGCGACACATGCAGAATGTCAAGCACGATGTTCCATGACCGCGGCTAGATTGGAGTTCCGCAATCCTTTGCTCTGGCCCTAGTTATGGCTGAAGCGCTCCAAAATACTATTCACGCGCAGCGCGGCGGTGATTTCGCTGTTGGAATACCGTTTCGTGTCAGGTTCGGGGGCAATTTGGCTCTGCTGGCTGCGCCGTTTGATCCCCCAGATCCTGTGGCGCCAGACTTCCCGACCGGCATGCCAACTGCTAGGCCTGTTGCGCTCGAGGTCTGGACCAATCAACATATGGCCCTCTATTGACTTGGGGAATTAGCTTCATCGTCTGGAGTCTCTATGGGTAACCCCTCCGAATATTGTGGCGCCAAAGACGTGGAAATATATGCTTGCTTCCACATCCATCGACGTTGTTTCTGCACCATAAACTCAAGTCTCTTTACGGGGAAACTTGCTCCTGTCCCTGCGTCGATTCGTCACCATGGAAGGCTAGAATGGCTTCGCTCTGCCTTCTTCCCCTCGTTCCCTCCTCGCTTCCTTGTCGCTGGGACGTCATCAGCGATTGGTCTGATTGGCCGTCGGCCACCGGACTTTATTCCGTGTCTGGTGATATTCCCGTCCTGCGGTTCTGTCATCCACAAGCTCGTTCATCCGCCTCGTCATTGAAACTATGCCAATGCGGATACGCTGCATAGCTGCCCAAGCAACGAGGCAGCTAGTAGGGTGCTTCCTAGCCTACTCATATGCCACAGGAATATTGTCGTGGAGGATGCTATCGCCAAACGCGACACTCTCTCCAAAAGGCAGCAAACACTGGAAAAAGGGTGGCCGCTCAGCAGCTGCAGTCACCAACGGGCGGCCAAGCCCCCTACTAGAACGCCGAATTCTAGGATAGCATGCGCATGAGGGTCTTAAAAAGAGGCGGCAGACGACGGCGACCGAGGCAAGGATTGCTTTGTTCGCACGCACACGCGCAAACATCCTTGATGCGCGTCATGGGGCGTGGAGCAAGCATGCTACGTACAGAGGGTATTGGGGAATTCGGTCGGTGTGAGTTGACAAACAGACAGCTGATTTTAGGAGACCTGAGAGGGTAGGACTTGGTCTGCAGACGAGTAAAATGATCAAATGCGGTGGGTTGCATGGAACAGAGGCCCAGCGACTATCAGTTCTCAGTAAGCCGCATGCACTCGACGCGGGACGCAACTGTATTGTGCAGGTTCGTGCGCCACTGCGCTAACCTTTGTTATAGTCCATCAGTGGCATTTAATTATGACGAATTGCGAAATGTGATTGGGTCTAGGTCTACGATCGGGACTCTGCATCGGCTCACCGCATTGCCCAACGAATTTCGCGAAGGCGGCTGCAGGCTGCCTACCGTGGATCCGATGTTTCTGGTATGCTCCTGCATCTCGATGGCCATGAGTGGCGAACATTCGGACAAGATACGCTATTCTGCCTGGAAAAAAGAAAGTTGGCATTCCTCGTGTTCGAAGGCAAATGCGAGTGGGAATCAGTTGCCATGTCGTGGAATATAGCACGGCCTCGGCCGAGAGCGGAACATCTAGTACGAGAAAAGAGGAAACATCTCGCGTCTGCCGGTGAAAGAACACCACGAAAAGCATCAAAAGAAGGGAGAAAACAACGCTACGATGCTTCCACCTGGTCTCATTGGCCATACCACCTTGCAAGCGCCGCCGAGAGCAACTCGGGGCCGGCACTAGGCCGACTCCTAGCCGGCGTGGCGTAACCCCCTTCCGGCGTCGTCACGTTTGACCCTACGCGACAGCGCATCTGATGCAGCTTGAACTCTTAAATTCTACGCCGAGCAAGGGGAAATGGGTATATCGGGCAAGAATCCTACACCTTCCGACTGATCTTTCGCCTTGGCTGCGGATCCCTGCATCGTAACTCCAGCGTTTCACTGGGCCAGAACTCAGTGATTGCGCAACCGCCTCCTTGGTCCAGAAGAAGATTGATCGCCAAAGTGTTCTTGCCGCTCTTTGCGTCGACTTGCTCGGTGTGGTGATCGAACGATACGCCTAAAGGATCATCCTCCAGCAGCCACGACCCACGGTGACGGGGTTTTCTACGAGGAGCGCATCACCAAGTAAGATGAGAGTTGGCACAATGCATTGTCGTCCCACCAGCCCGCGCAGTTCGATGTTTCTCGGACGGCCCAGCCTCACTGAGTTTCCTCCTTTCGCGATTGTGCCCCTTGTATGATACTCAGCCCATGTGCTATATAAAAGGGGCGACGCAGACATCGTTTTGGGTTGTGTTGATTCGCAGCCCTGACTAACATGCCACAAGCTTTAGGTCAAGCCACGCATCCAGTTATAGCATCTGTTACAATGGCCGACATTACTCAAGCGCAGAGCATCATCATCGTTGGCGGCGGCAACTTTGGTGCCGCAACCGCACTCAGCCTGGCCAAAAGCCACAAGGACAAAGTCGTCACGCTCATCGACACAACGCCCCTCGCCAACCCGCGCGCCGCTTCACACGACATCAACAAGATTGTGCGGGACGACTATGCAGACATTCTGTACATGCGCATGATGGTCAAGGCCATGCAGCAGTGGCGCGAGGACAAACTTTACACCGAATACTACCACCAGGTCGGCATGCTGCGGGCCGATCCGGGCAACTTTAGCGATGGAAGCATGCGCAACTACAAAAAGCTGAACGTGCAGAGCCGCGCCGAGTGGCTCGACGTCGATGAGGTCCGAAGGCGCTTTAACGGCGCCTTTGCTGACGGCGACTTTGAGGGACTTGACAAGGTCATGTACAATCCAGATTGCGGCTGGGCCGAGGCCGACAAGGCCCTCGGGGCCGTTCTCCAGGCTGCTCAGGCTGAGGGGGCACGACACCACGTCGGCGATGTGGAGAAGCTCATTTTCAACGAAGGGGGCGCCTGCGTCGGCGTGCAGTTCAGAGGCGGCGACGAGATGCGCGCGGACGCGGTGCTCCTCTGCACCGGGGCTCGGACACCTCTGCTCCTGGCCGACAGCGCGCCCGACAGGGCGGAGTTGCATGCAGGCCACAGAGTCGAGGCCACGGGTGCCGTCAGCTTCACGGGGCGCTTTACCGGCGCGCAGAAGGACAAGTACACGGGCGTGCCGGTGTGCAAAAACGTCCTGCCGCAGGTCAAGGGCGAGAGCATGGGCATGACCGCCGAGGGCGTCATCAAGTTCAACTGCGACATGAGCTTCACCAACATGCAGCTCCACAAGCCCTCGGGCCAGCGCATGTCGATGGCGCCGGATGACGAGCAGTACGCCACGTGGTTCAACCGCGCCTTCTCCTCGCGGTTCGAGAAGAGAGCGCTCAGCACCATGAGGGGCCTGTACGGCAAGGAGGTCGACGGCGTCAAGATCGAGAGGTTCCGCATGTGCTGGTCAGTTGTCCTCTTTGGCCTCCCAGCCGTCACCCCGCCCCCCCACGCGCCGTGTTTCTCGACCGAACTAACTGTCGACGCAGGGACGCCACGACCAAGTCGCACGACTTTCTCATCACGCCGCACCCCCACTGCGCGAACCTGTTTGTTGCGACGGGCGGCTCGTTCCACGGGTGGAAGTTCCTGCCCGTCATTGGCGAGTACATTGTCGACATGCTGTTCGGGCGACTGGCGCCCGAGTATGCGGACCGCTGGGCGTGGGACCCGGTCAGCGAGGATGAGCACAGGGCGAACCCGACGTACGACGTCGAGTTTGACCTGCCCGAGTGGCTGGATGGCGGCATGCAGTGTACGACTTGGTAAAGCTGGAGGGATACGTGGGTAAGGGGTTCGGGAAGCATCTTTAGAAAGAGAGGGGCCTGCGAAGAAGACGGAGAATGAGAAACGGGGTACCGGCACACGCATGTAGAAAGAATCA